AAGCAAGCATGCAAGCAAACGTCGCAGTCCGTCACCTCCGGTCTCTCCAGACAACCGGGAGAACCCGCGGCTCGCTGAACGTGAGCTCTATTCGAGCTGTGGGGACGAGGCCGAGTCCAGGAGCACTCACGATGCTCCTGTGGGCTCCGTGGAAGGGCACACTTCAGTGATGACGACGCCAGCGTGCACTCGACGAGGAGGAGAAACCTCTAAAACATCTCTCGCTCGCCGAGGGCTTGCGCCTGCTAAGGCCACCCAAGTCACAGCCGAAGAAGCCAAGTCCATAAGAAGAGCACGGCTTCGAGTCTCCCCTTCGCGAGGAGAAGGAGACTGGGTACTCCAACCGGAAACACTTCGGCTCCTCGGATGAAGAGTAGGAGGGTGGGGGCTATCCATGAGCCTCAGGAGATCACAAACGACATCGACCAGCAGGAGTACTTCCAAGCTGCCCAGCGCATGCGTGGGGGTCCGGTGGTGGCACCCGTCTATCAGGGAGCTGCCATTAACTCGGGAGGTTATTGGCCTATCGAAGGCAGCTCTGGGGCTGACCTCTTTCTGGAGATCCTCGTTGCTCTTCGTGGATCTGTCGGTGGTCTCAACTTCTAAGAGCGTTTACGAATGTGCCCTGGTCCAGAAGGAGAGGTTCGTCACCGACAACTTAGAGGTGGCCCGGTGCTTGCTTCTCGTGCGGCATCGAATCCCTCTGAAGGACTTCACGACTTGTCGTGAAAGAAGCTCGAGAATCGGGGTGGTCTCTACCCTCTCTAGGGGCTACCCCTGGATTCTTCCCGAGAACCGTCTCAACTGGAACTCGTGTGAGGACATGTTCTGGCCTGGGGTGGATTCTCTCAAGTACTCACCCTCGTAGTTACGGCAACTCCATGAAGATCAGCTGCTGTCCCGCATCCAGGACCAGCATGATCTTCGTGTCCGGTTCGCCCACTTGTTCAGCAAACGCATCCTGCCAAGGGAGATTCTGAAACGCGCGGCTTTTACCACTCATGATGTGCGCGGGAACGGGGTGACGTCAACATCCGTACCCCGTTCGCGCAAGAAGCCCCGGACTACTTACGAAGCTTCTGTCGCTTCTGTTCTCAGATTGCGACATCCTTTAGACAGTCTATCAAGAGCCGTTCAATCGTCTCCCACGAGTTATCGGAGTGGGCATAACCCCTTCGCTTCACGAGGTGCTACCGCATACCGCGACGCCGTTTCTCCTGAAGAATTCGCTCCACGTGGTTGTGGACAACTCCGTTCCGGTCAAGCAGAATCTTGGACGGATCATCATCATGAATGGTCGATCGAGTTGCAGGCAACTTCCCAGTTGATACCTACCGCGCCAAATGCCTTCCGAAGCATCTTCTTTCATTTTTGAAGAGCAGCTCCAGCATCATGAGGACGTCAATCTTGGAACGATATCGTCGATGGCTAGGTCTCGTTCTCGAAGCCCACCGACAAGAGTAGCGAGACGGAAACCTCGGCAACTTGGCTGGTTGAAACCGAGTTAAGTGGACGTGAAGTTTCTGCGCAAGCGCAGGCCAATCGGCCTGTCGCTTGAGGATGGGATTGAACAGCTGCATCCACTCATCATGCTGCATCAGCAATTGTACGCGGTCGAAAACGCGCTTGGTGGCTGGTGTATCGCCGTTGATAGGTGGTCGAGGTGCCTTCCGCAGTGCGGAATGCTTTGCACTCGCCTCCGAAGGTTTCGAACCCTCGGTTCCATCGTCGTATTCTTCATAGACCGGTTCTGGTCCCGTAACGTCGTCTAACTCGTCGACGAGGGTTCTCGAATGGGCCTGGTTGCCCCGCTCAGCCCTGATGATAGCGTGGCTGTCTCCAGTATCGCTACGCCTGGCCCAGGAGCCGGCATTTTGGCTTCGTAATTGTCGTAATTATGGGCGTCATAACCGATGTCCGCCTCGTCCTCGAAGCTCATGGAAAGGTCGGTGACGGTTGCAAACCGTGCAGCTGACACGTCCGGCTTTGAACTCTCGTTGCGAGCTCCGCCAGATTTGGCAGGCGTAGCTGGTTCCGTCGGTTGTGCGTGTGCCATGTTTCTTGTTTTCTAATTTTGCTTCTTTTTCTCTTGGTAGCTTGTAACCTGGAAGGCCATGCAAGCCGTTCACCATGGACACAATCTGTTCCCAGGTCGCGGCACCAGTCCTGGGGTTGCAATCCCCACGTGAGGTTTAGCTACAGCAGTAGTTATGAAGCTCCCACAGCAATACGTCTGCTAGGATAGCAAACGATCGTTCGGACGGACCTGAAGACCCCAGTTTTACCCTTGCAGCGGGCCAGACTGGACCTTGTAAACTACTTATATAGGCCAACCATTAAAAATAGGATCACGCTACTAGCACGAACAAAGCTAACAGGCGTTATGAATCACTGTGGTCCCAACTGCGGGAGGGTATCAGGCAGGGTAAGACTTTTACGAGGGCACCAAGTGTTCAACACTCGGTATACGAGGGATGTAATACAATCACCCCCAGTCGTGCAAATAGGCAACAATAATCTGTCACGTAACCCCCCCCCGATAGTAATCGGCCAAAACACACACAGTCTCTTGGCCATGCCGGATGCACATTCGCTACGGAGCCTTGAGCTCACCGACAGGCATAACACACTTAAGCAAGCTTACCAGACGCTCACCGTGAAGCTGGACGTCGCTCTGTGTGCTTGAGTGGAAATTCTGTACTGTATTTATGTTTGCCCTTTCGGGCCTATTCCTAATAAGAAGCCCTAATCATGTATACAAATATCAAGTGAACTATGATCCGCCATGGATCTTCTTGCACGTCAAGCGTCGTTTGCACCGTCGCATAAGCATCACTAACTGCTCACACCCTGTCCCAGACGGTGAACATGCCTTCAGTGAGTCGCTGAGTCTTCCGCAAACTCATCCCAACCGCCACCGAGGGTTCGTACCGTAGATGGTCAGGTCTTGGCCGCTGAATGCGAATCCGGCCAGTCCATTATTAATATTAAGGACAGCCTGGATTCAGTGACATCTGGGTCGTATCCAATATCCGTTGAATGCTCGGAAGTGACACCGTCGAGTCTCTTGCACGTTGGGGTCATGGTTCGTCGCGTGACCGAGGGTTCGTCGCCTGAATATCTTGGGCGGAGCCGCATTTTTGCTGACGGGCGATTATCCGCAACCCTGGAGAAATCACTACACCACATTCGTGACTAGCCGATGGGAGGGGTAATGGGCTTCCATATAAATTGCGCATTGCTCGTTCGATGAGTGCAGGTTTCATTTTAGTGAATGTTCAAGCACACAAACAAGGTCGCTCCTCGCAACTTCAGTTACATACGCAAATTGACCGGTTTAGTTTAAAGGCGATTATTTCGATAACTCTGAAAGGTGAATAAGAATATGTTCGTACGCGTATTATCGCATATGCACTAGAACTGAGAGTACCATCAGCACGGGGTGTATCGCGCTGATCACGTTTAGCGCGGCGATCTCGCAGAGCACTGGATACACAGACGGCATTGTACCCGATATGGCTAGACTCGGTAAGAAACAATGCCTAATAGCGACTGTGTGGTCACACAGGGTCAGCTGGATCCGCGCTCGCAATACCCGCTTAAACACTTTTAATATGGACATGGTCGATGCGATAACCGCCACGGAAGGCCTCAAAGCGCTGATGGGAATACAATAGCCGCTCGCATTGCTGGAGAAGCTTCCAACAAATGCGGTCCAAGATTAAAGAGTTGTCACACACTCAGGCACTTTTCTTTTAGCCGAAGTTCTCTTCGACAGATTTCATTGACCGCATGACAGAAACCAATGAAGCTGGCGACTTCGTCGTCAATATTGATGGTGATGTATGCGTACGACCCCATCGGAATCTGGAACGATATCGGGTGGAGTTTGTCAGCGTTTCCAGACACAGTTGGCATTTAAAGAGCACGTACCGCATGTGTAGCACGCAGTGAAGAAGGCGACATCGACCGTGATGTATGCACCTCTTCTTCGTCACGTGGTCACTTTTAACCTGGAGAGGCTGGATCATCCTTAGGTGTTTGCCGTGGTTCGGGCGATGTGTAACCGACTTGGCGTCGGTGCAGAAGCCGAGGGGTCATCGTCTTCCATGGAGACGTTGTTAACGTCCGACCCATAGTCGAAGGAAGTGTTTCCGTCAGTAGACAACACGGACGAGCCCTTAATTACGACTGATGTTGTCATCCGTAGCTTGTTTGTGCTTTCGCTTTTAGATATAGCGATATTGGTTAAATAAAGTTTATCTTCCGTCGCGGGCGTATGCGCTTACGTAGGTACCGAAGTGGTTTTGCCCGCAGCTGTAGTCACGGACGTAGTAGAGCCTACCGGGGCAATCTCTTTCGTGAGCGTCTTCTCTGACGAGCTCATTGCAAAATGGGCTTGGGTCCTCGAACGTTTCGACGGTCTCGTCAATCCTTTGACTGGTGTGTTAAGACAAGTAAGTTTAATCTTGGCAGGGGAAGGGTGTAACTGGGTAACAGATAAGTGGCTACATTTAGCCAGTGGCTACATTTACAATTATAAGTACCAATTGGCAACTGGTCTGCATGCTTTCATTTGTAAATTAAATAAATGGAATTTCCAACAAGTGGTTGACAGAACGTGTGCAAAAACACGTTAAAAAAACACGTTCTGTCAACCACTTGTTGGAAATTCCATTAATTTAATTTATAAACAATATTTATTAACAGTAAAAAAACAAATAACAGTTCTGATGTTACCGTAAATCAGCTTTCTTTCCTTATTTAAAAGATTAAATATTTTCGATCGAAAGTGTTGTTAGCAAGGGCTCAGCTGTACTTTAAAACATTAGAGCGTTTTTAGTAAAAACTTTGTACAGATATTATTAAGTACTGTTTCTCAGCCGCTGATGCATCAAATCTGTCATAAGTTGCGTCTCTTCTACGTTTTAATTAATCAGATAAAGTATAGCCCAATGCCTTTATTACATGTAACCGGCCTCCCGAGATCATAGCATATTATGCTCCCGTTCGTCCGACGTCTGTATAAGACACGGAGGAGAATTAATAATGATTAGATGCAGTGTTTGCTAAAACCAATTTTTGGTCGTAATCTTTGGTCGTGCTAACGATCTGGTGGGTCAAAGATTGCATACTGACTTCGTCCATGTCGGCGACGCGTCCTTAGACTGGTCTTATTAGAGTGGTTTAGCAGCAGGAACTTGTGTGAGTTGTAGACTATTAATAGCGCCAATCACACAACCCTAATCACACTGCCGCACACGTTGGTTTGCCAGCGAAGCATTTTGCAGAGCGAACGCGAGCACTTATCCGTCCTTGGTGTATACTACATTTGCAAAGCACACAAGCCAGTCAAGGTGCTCGAGGAGAGCTCTCACAGCGACCGCCCTGAACCTCGTCCTCGTCGAGGACGCCGCTGTGCTCTTCGCCAAATCTCCTATTCCACGACCAGTCCTCACACTGAAGGGCAACTTCAATTTCAACGCATTAAGCGACGGAGACTGTCGTTTTAATTTCCGATTCTGGAGGCGTGACGTAATTCGGCTGCACAAGGCGCTGCGGCTTGAGGAAGACTACAAGCTACCGAGCCGCCTTCGCGTTGGTGAAGTCGAGGGGCTCTGTGTGTTGCTGCGCCGGCTCGCGTACCCTGGACGGTACGGGGATCTTGCTGTGATGTTCGGCAGGTCGCCCAGTGCGCTGTGCCTGATCTTTCGCTTCATGGTGGACCTAATCTACGCTAAGTGCAGCAAGCTTCTTGCACGCGGCAGTCCTATCGACAGGTGTATCGGCTTCATTGATAGCACGGTGCGTGGCATCGCCCGACCAGTGCGCAACCAACGGCAGTGCTATAATGGGCACAAAATGCACTCAAGTATACAGTATTCGGATGTTAAAGTGCATAGGTATACATTTGTATACGACTTGTAGAAAGCTTATCAGTCGTAGCTACATCACTTGAACGAACGTGTGACGCTCGTCTCTGGCAATCCTCACAAAAAAAAACGGGCGTCACACGTTCGTAGCTTTCTGCTAAACCACTCTATTCATTGCCTTGGAGCGAAGAAATTTTGAAATGACAGGCTTATAGGTGGGTTCTTTCGAGGCTTCTGAGGCGAGACCTTGGTAAAATACCGGTACTGCAAGCATGTCGTGTAAAAAAGTAGCTTGTTCACGTGATATCAGACTCAGGCTGCGTACAGTACGCAATGATACTGCGACATTGTCGCAGTATCATTGCGTAGAAATATTCAAGATAAAAAAACTTGAGGTGTTGGACCAGATATTGTACGATTGACTAGGAAATAGTCAATGCGTGTTTCCTCTAATTATAATATTGCTACCGCGCAGCCGCACCTTTGGCTGTCCCGATAAGGGCACAAAGGTACGACGTTTGCATCCTTGTATTTCTACAACATTTGTAGTATTTGCATGATTTAATATCAAAGCTCTTCTGACGAACGATGAATAAAGACCTCGATCTACTGTATACACGGTACCGCATGACCCTGCTACTTGCAGTGCATAAGTGCTATTAAAAAGAAAGAGCGAACGCTAAATAATAATATTTGACGATGCTTGCGACCCATTCCTTCCGTTTGCATGCAGTGTTTGTAAACATCCATGACATCATATGTTTTTTTAGCTCATAATGTGGGTTTTATACTTCGAGGGGGCTGGTGCTGCTAGGACGAGGCTGCTGAGTCTGATATCACGTGAACAAGCTACTTTTTTACACGACATGCTTGCAGTACCGGTATTTTACTCGTGTGGTCAAGGTCTCGCCTCAGAAGCCTCGAAAGAACCCACCTATAAGCCTGTCATTTCAAAATTTCTTCGCTCCAAGGCAATGAGTAAGACCAGTCTAAGGACGTTTCTCAACTGCTTCGTACTGCTATCGATTCTTGTCCTTCTGGAACCTGTCGGTGGTGGTCCAGTGTCAACTACGGTGTCCAACAGGAGCGTCCTCTCAAACGAAACTTCGAATGGCGCTGTTAACGCTGACATTAATCGGATGCAGACATGGTCAGCAAAGGATGATGAGTACGACACTTCAGAAGAGAGAGTTGACATCAAGGTGCCTGGCGCAGAGAAGCTTAAAGGTTTAATCACGTCTGGGACTACAAAGCTGAAAAAATTCGCAAGCAGGGTGAAGAATAGACTGGCTTTCAACAACCAGAAAGGCACCGAAGACAGCGTAGCGAAGCTCGGTGTCGGAGCAATGGAGTCGAAACGTACAGACACTGCGCTCGCTCAATCTGTGATCACCATCAACAATAAAAGACCTGAGCTGAACGAGGAGGCATTTCATTCAGCACTGACCGCTAAGTATGACGTTGAAGCCCTGACCAAGATACTGGTAGACGCACAGCGCCCAGGCGCATCGAAAGTTGCTACTATGGTTGAAGCCATCCAGTTCGATAACTGGGTTACTCAAAAGAAAACGGCGGGAGATATCTACAACCTCCTGAAGCTAAATGTTGAAGATGTTGATGTTTTGGTAAACCCATTGCTGCCCACCTGGATCTCGTTCGTGAAGACCAAGCTCAAGGAGGATCCGTACGATTTCTTGCTGCTCAAACTGGCAAAGCAGTACGAAGAAGACGCACTACATAAAAGGCTGATCGCAGCCAGCACTACGGCCAGTACGAGAGATATTGCTAGCGGTTTGGAGTTTGCGCAGATAAAGAAATGGCTGACCACAGGAAAAGCGGAAGATGACGTCTTGAAGATTTCACTTGTACCTGCCGACAAGGAGCTCGGGCTCTTGAAGCACCCAGCTCTACAAACCTTTATCTCCTACGCGACTAAGCACCATACACTGGATCCGTATGAGTTTTTGGTACTCAAGTTGGCGAAGAGGCACGGCGAAGACGAACTACCTAAAATGCTAGTTAGGGCGAAGTCCGACTCTGATTTGGTATCCATGGCTGTGAAGCTGGAATCGACGCAGTTTAAAATCTGGAAGGAGAAAGGTAAAACGAGCGATGACGTTTTTAAGATGCTTCGTCTAGACATTGACCAGAGTATCGACACACTGAAGAGCCCAGGCCTAGTTTCATGGTTCTCGTACGTGAAAAAAATTAGCGAAAACCCGACCGAAGTGCTGTACCGAAAATTGGAAATACGTTTTAGCGATGCAGAGATACTGAAGATGTTTTTCGCTGGGAGGAAGGACGGCACTTTAAAGTTTTCGTTGGGTCCAATGGTCCGCTTGATCAAAGGCAATTGGCTGGGTCAAAAGAAAACTGCAGAAGATGTCTTCACCGATCTCTCCCTACACAAAGATGGCATTAATTTTTTTGAAAACCCGATACTGGTAACTTGGTTCACCTACGTAAAAAGTATGCACAAGGAGGAAGCAGACAACGTGATGTCGTCGGTGATGACGAAATATTACGACGATGAAACACTGAAGAAGATGGTTACCCACAGCTCGATAACAGGGAATCTTAAAGCCACGGCAGCACAAGTGGCGTCTGCACTGTGGTTGCGCGAAGGAATGCCAGCACACGAGGCCTTTAAGCTGTTGAGGCTAAGCGGGAAAGGCGACAACGCTTTATCGGATCCCGCATTTGGTACATGGGTCTCATACTTTAACAAGTTGCAAGGCAAGAAGATGAATCAAGACGAGTACGCTATTATAGCGGAGCTATCAAAGCATTTCGATAATGATCTGGATCTCGCACGTGCACTTTTTGCTGTGGCTAACAAAAATCCTGATCTGAATACAACACGAACGATCACCAGCCTGCAGAATCTACAGTTCAAGCAATGGATTTGGGAAAAGCATTGGAATCCGAAAGAACTTAGCTACGCCCACATGAATGATCCGAGGTACTTGGGTGTCCATCTCAGTTTCATCACCTTCTTCACAACCACACGCGGAAGTTAGTGGAGGGGCTAGCGAGGCTTGAATAACAAGGTTTACATCTTCCTAAGTACTACCTCCGTTCGGAAAAAGATAACCATTAGTTTTTTTTTGCGCAGCGCTCCGCCTCGTTTATTTGAGCGTTTATTAATTTGTGAGAGGCTGGCTAGCTAGCTTTATGACCGAGAGCTGACAGTGAGAAACTAAGCAAGGCACAGGCGTTCATGCTCCGCCGTGCAACTACAGATACAAAAACGGATCTAAGACGGCAACTACATCGCCACATTCTGTAGGGGCGCTCAGTGGGGCTTCTGGAACTTCAGCGGTAGGCGGTGGGGGGCTGCTCGCTGCAAGAAACAGCATGTACGCGTTAGCATTGGCGAGTGAGATAGCGTCACAAGGCAGTGACGTAGGGAGAGTGCCAGCTCGTACTTGCTTGTCCTTGTGCCGGAGGCGCGCCAACTTGTGCGTGGGTCTGTCTGAGCGCACGCCGTATGTAGCCTTCCTTGATCAGCTGCTGAACCAAATAGCAGCTCATGTTGGACGCGCGCTGAAGCAGATGCTGGTTTTCGCGCTCATTGACAGGAACTGCAGCGATTCTCTCGCACAGCTCAACTCGATGCACCTTCTTCCTACCACATGCGCTCTTCCTTGACTTGACCACGGCTGCTACTCGATCTCCCATCGAATTGATTCCACGCCTCCAAATTCGTTCGACAACTTGGCGGCCCACACGGAAGTACGCTGCAGCCCGAACGATCTCTCCATGTTTGACCACTTCTCCCACGCTGCGAAGCAATAGGGTCTCCCAGACGGCCTGGCGCTCACTGTCTGTGATGTCCCCCAGGTGCCAGTTTTCAAAATGAAAGCTGGGAAGTCTGGTCCCGAAAGCGCGGGAGATTCGAAATCCAAAAAGTGATCGGCATAGAGAGGGTATTTTGTTGGGTAGGCTGTAATATAATTTGAAATGGTTATCTTTTTTCGAGCGGAGGTAAATGCTTCTCTGCAATTGTGAGTTATACAATATAAGAGGTTACATGTACCAGCCGATCCGGTGCCAACTTGTTGATTTAATCATTCCCGCACCCACTCTCCAATCTGTTGACCACCACGGGACATTTGATTATTGGACGCGGGAGACTACATGAACGAATTGCTGCTTTGTAAGCATTTGCTGGTGTCACTTGAAGCTTCATGCCAGCTGACGCAAACCCCATGTTGTACCGATACCCACAATCGGCCAGCACAGTATTAATACCCCGCACCCAAAAGTCTTGCAGAAGCCGGCTCGAATGCCCATTTAGGCACAGAATAGGTTTTCTAACAGAAAAATGTCGTCCCTTTGTACACGGACCAATGCAAGTCACACATGCTCTTGTCGGTACAGCACAGCTATTAATACTGTGACAGTAAGTGTGTAGGCAAATCAGGTTTACTTTATCATAAAGGCTCGAGTCGAGCTGACACTGTCAGCCCTCTACCGTATGGGACCCATAATGGGTAGAGTCCACAGTAAACAGTGCTCATTCGCAAATATTCAGGCGGTGGAGGCCATGGACTCGACCACGCGTCAGAACGATGTCCACTCAACTCGCCTCCGGTTCCCGGAAGTGCGTTCGCTGAACGCCGACAATCTCGTCATACACAGCGACAATGATACGAAACTCCCTCGGCCATGGAGCTGGTCACTTCGAGAGGTAGACGTGGCTTCTCTCCCGTGGCTGGGATGGCTGTTCGTCTACGCATTCGTTCAATTCTACTTCTCCATCAGTCGATGCCTCGCGCTTAAGGCACTGGTGGTAATGTACGGAAGTGCCACGGACTACACGGCGTTCGTCAAAATGTCAGCGTTGAGTCTCGGATTCTTCGAGGATTTCGTGTGTACGACGTACTACGCGAGCGCCTTGTGGGTATTCGATACTCTGAAGCAAATACTGATGGAGCGATACGGTTCAACGGGCGGTATGGCGGTCGATATTGTCGGAGGGATCGCCACATTCACGTTATCGTGGGTGCTGTTTATTGCAATGATGGCGCCATTTGTGGCTGATATGATGTTGGTGGTATACCGAGATATGCGCTTCTCCTTCCGTCTCCTCGCCTCGTTGATTAAAGAGAGGGAATACCTCAAAGCCGCGCCGATATCAACGGACGAGATGCAGACCGCCTATGTGACGGCAGGCTACCTCGTCGTAATTGCCACACTGTTCGCATCAGTGCGTACCTGGACAAAGTGGGCGGATCTGGCCCTCTGGAACCCGACGCAGCTAGTACTGAATCCCGTGACTAACTTAACAATCGGGAAATCCTCCAAGAAAGGTGCGGGAGGTGTCAAATACGAAGCTCTTTCTCTAGAAGAGGGCACGAGCTCGACTGCTAAAGCCTCAAACAAGGTGAGCGAACCCTCAACTACACGACACCAACTGGTACGCGTTGCAGTCGTCGTCCTGGGCCTTGTGGTTGTACCTGCGATGGGCGTTGCGTTGCGTAGCGCTTGCTCGCCACTCGTGGCCTACGCAGCGCTGAACGTGACACTGAACGAGCTGCTTCTCCACATGTTCGAACCTGCCCCCATTGAGGTGGAGCTCGCAAACTTGACCGGGAATAAACCGTGGGTGGAGAAGTACATCGACAAGACCGAAGAATACGAGCGCTTTGGAGACGATACCATGTTCCGACGCACTACTGGCTTCAAAGGAGAGCTGGCCTTTAATGTCACTATTGACAACGACAATCCGCCAAATGTTTTAATCATTGGAGTGGAATCTTTCCGGTACCGAGACTCGCGGTACCTCGTGGGAGAGGAAGACCCGTCAAACTTGTTCAAAGGCACAAATTTGACAATAACGCCGAATTTCGACCGATGGGCGAAGCGAGGCGTCGCCTTGCGCAATATTTGGTCCAGTATCCCCACCAGTCGGTCTCTGGAGAGCGCATTGTTTGCTCAAATCCCGTATCACAGCAACACCCAGAGCGGGGTCACGGGAGGGAAGGTACAAACCAAGCTGTCAGGAGTCCCGCAATTATTCTCGGAAAAGGGATATGAGACGTACTTCACCACGGGATCCACGCTAGAATTCGACAACTGGAACACCTTCTTGCCTTCGCATGGCTTCGACAACGTGTGGGACGCCAGAAAGATGAAGAGGATGGCAGAACAGACGCTTAATATCAGTCATCAAGACTGGGATGGCGTCGAACACCGCGGGTTCGGCTGGGGTGTCCATGATGACCTGAGTTTTAAACTTCTAGGTGATTTTTTACTCAAGAAAAGAGCCAGACAGATGGAAAAGTCAGCTCAGGGAGAACCCAAGATGCCCACATTCGTGACGCACTACACCATTACGAGTCACGAGCCGTACGAGTCGTGGCCCAAGTGGTACGATGAGGCTGAGAAACCTGATTTTTCAGTCATGTACGAAGGCGAACAGAACGCCCACCGGATCGAAAGATACATGAAAGCGCGGTATTTTACCGATATGGAACTTGGCAAGTTCATGGACCGTATGCAGAGGGAAGGCTTCCTTAACGACACCATCGTAGTCATCTTTGGAGACCACGGACAGGCTCCAGAGAGTGACAATGCCAACTTACATGAAGAATCGGTGACGCGAGTGCCTGCTACTATCATTGCCGAAGGGCGACTGGGTGACGCGGTGGGGCTTGTGCTTGACGACGTAGCCGAGCAGTACGATCTTCTGAATACTCTTGCCGACATAACTGGGTTACCGAAGGGAGGATTCCAGCAAAATGGCGTCGGTCGGTCACTGAAGCGTAAGGCTTCTTCCAAAAAACATGTTGTGTATAGTAACGACCCGTTGCGCAAGATGGCGATTGTGCGAGGCCACGAGCGTCTTCGTTATGATGAAATTACAGACTCCATGATGCTGCACGACACGGAAACGGACTTCCACATGACCACGGATCTCTTACCGTTCCTCAAGCCGGAAGAACGTGCCGAGTGGGAAGCGCTGCGAGAGGATGGACGTCTTATCACGACGTACTACAGGAAGCGGTGGGACGAGAACTGCCTGCTTGCTGCCAAGTGTGATCCCTAAGAGCCAAACAAAACAAAGGTAGTTGCTTGTACATACCGGTATTGTATTATACTCCAAGTAGCAGGTTTTGAAATGTCAACCAGCAACAGCAACGATACCTTTTTACCGTAGAGAACTTTGAACGTATTAATACTTACTCTTTTTTAGGCAACAGACCGTAGGCTGCAGAACTTTTAAAACTAAAAGTACTATTATTAAATAATACGTACTGTAGTTGTACATGTACAGTACATGTATGTTGATTACGGGATGGTGCGGATCATAGATGTATCCCTGGAGTCCCATATGGAATTGCGGAACACAATGGTAATCTGCTGATAAGGAGAGAAGATACCTTTTGCCTTGAAATCAAAGGTTATCTTTTCCTGCCTACGAAGTATTGTGTCTTTCAAACTCTTTTGGCAAAACGGGCAACAAAAAACTCACCTCCAAGTGCAGAGGTTAGGTTTACTCATCTGTTTTAGTAGGGAGTCTACCAGCGAATTATCCTGATACTTCTTAGATAAAAAATATTTTATCCAATTAAATCAAGGTTTGCGCAATTTATCAGCTTATCACGTTTAAACCGTCGATCCCTTGAGAAACTAGTCTCAAGCTGGGAAAAAGTCTCGAATGGCTATAAATTTCTTAGCCATTCGATACTAAGTACTCCACAGAGCAGTTTAGAATGACCTACTCAATCGACATGCGCTGAAGAGCCATCGTGCTTATGTACGTATACTCAATCCAAGCAGAGACAGTGGCTAGTGCTCTAGGTATTTCTCAGCGCAGTCTAGGTCGATGGTTCAGACGATTTCGCGCGACCGGAAATGTACTGAAAAGCGAGCCAAGGAACAGGACGTCAAGATGGCCAACCGAGGTGTGTGCGTTTGTGCGTCAGTACGTAAATCAGCATCCATGCTTCTATTTTGAAGAGCTACGGCTCGAGCTACGAGCTCGCTACACTAGCACTATTAGTGTATCAGACTCAACTATTTGTCGAGCCCTCCGATTCGATCTCAACCTCACCAGGAAGGTGCTTACGAAGCGAGCGCGGGAATGTGTACCGAGGGAGAGCCGTGAGTATGTTGCTCGACTCTTACCGTACTATAGCGGTCCAGACCAACTCGTATTCATCGACGAAACTTCGAAAGATGGGAGGTAAAGTATTCTGTGTAATGAAGGTTACTATGCATTTAATCTAATTTGCTTGAGTTTTGTATGTTTAGGTCAGTTCTTCGTCGGTATGGATGGTCGGCAAGAAATACTGCAGCTCACGTTACAATACCTTTCAGTCGTGGAAAGAGAGTGTCAATTTTGGCCGCGATGGATGTGAAGGGCTTTTTTGGGTGGGGAAACGTGGAGGGAACATTTACGCGTTTAGAATTTCATCACGTGTTTAAGGAAAAGATTCTCCCGTTTCTCAATCCATGGCCTTTGCCTTGATCCATTGTAATCATGGACAATGCCAAGATTCATATGTACAAAAAATTGCAAGCTTTGATACACGCTACTGGAGCTCTGCTGTTTTTCCTGCCTCCGTACTCACCAGATTTAAATCCTTTTGAGATTGGCTTCTCGCTTCTCAAACGGTGGATTCAAAGACACGCTAATATGGCATTTCGTTAAGATCCTCTCGCTGTTTTAAAAGTGGCAATGTATAGGTGCACCAAGCAGAAAGACGAAGTCGGAGAGAATTTGTATAGTCATTGTGGGTACATGTCAAGCGAGATAGCGATAAAACAGTAGCAAACAGTAAAGGTGACTTGTCCTACTCTACTACTCCATATTTGTATCGGTATCACTCATGTGTTCTTCGTCTTCAATGTTGGTCGCTGGTGCCGGCGTGTCTGTTTGTGTTGGCGCTCTAAACGGAGATCGTAAGCTATAGCTCGGTAGTCCCAGCGCCTCTCGTAGATCACTTACGTTCACATGTAATGGCACAGGAACACCATGAAGCTTAACGCGCACGACTCGATACTCACCTGCGCTTTGCTGTCGCTGTTGTTCTTCCATTGCACTATTCATTGCTGCTTGCTCGACGTCAATGTGCTGGAGCTGGCGGAATGTAACACTGTCGGGTACTTGTAATGGAGTCCCTTCAGGCAATCTTGCGTGTGTGATGGCCATGTATCGCTCCGTCGCAGGCCCAGCGTCAACCTGCTGCTCTCTCAGAAATGCTGCCACACGTGGCATTTGCTCCTGAATACGGGCAGCACTAGCTCGACGGAGTGACGTCTGAGCTTCAGGCTTGGGTACGTACACAAAAAGCTCCATCTCAAACCCTGCTTGCCCATTACGCCTCCGTTTCGCCCTGTTCCAGACATCCTTTAACTGTGTAAGAAGAGCCGCTGTGTCTTGGCATGCAATCTCAAACTGATTTTGCTTGGCGTTATTGCTAGGCTTCAGATAGATGTCGAATTCAGGTCTCCATTGTCCTGGCAGTTTGCTCTCGAAATGTTCTTCGACTTTTGCTTGCAGGATGCTGTACCCATCGGATACCTTGTACAAAAATGCTGGTGACACCGGAACCTTGTCCCGACACGCAGCGAAGGGTTCTCCATTCTTGATGCTGAGACGACAGGACAGTGACTCTGGCAGCGGAATATTCTCCATTTACAGCTCAGTGTTTGAATCTGATGGTTATTGTAGTTGTGAATCGCTATCCTCCGCTGGTAAACTGCATATAAACACTCCCTTGCCTGTACACTGTACAACAACGTCCTCGCATTTACCGCCCCTCTTATCTTATTCACACCGCTGGTAAACTGCATATAAACACTCCCTTGCCTGTACACTGTACAACAACGTCCTCGCATTTACCGCCCCTCTTATCTTATTCACACAACGCGCTGCACTTACCCGTAGAGTGTGAGCTAAACCATAGCAGCCGTCTCGCATTACCTTACCATTCTTATCCATCGGCAACTTGTAACGGTGCCACCGCAGACCACACTACACAACACGCCAACACGCCAAATAATACCATCGAGAGGAATTGAACCTCCACCCCCCGAAACCAGGACTCTACCGTTGAGCTACGTTGGTGCTGAAGCGTAGCTGTGAGCTGTGTTGTGTCTTGGTCGGGCGTAGCTTGGTCCGCACGCTGTTTGATCTTGACCCGGTGAAAGCTTGAATGGGAGCCACGTGTGCGACATACAGAGCGTGCCTGTCGCTCATTGACGTATTTCGGTCAATCACATTAGCCTCGAATTAAGATAAATATTACGGCACACCGTTACAGATTAAAAAGCCCTTTTTAGATCAAGACTCCCTTCGGAGCTAGTTATAAAATGCGGCAAAACGACAGAAAGGCACAATACATGTACATGAACAACGCTTTACACAATTTTCTGACGAGTTCGCTCCTTCAAGGCAAAACTTCAGAAAGCGAAGTACTATTATTCTATAGTATTATATAATACGTACTTATGGAAAGTATAATCCGAGTACATGAGTTTTAATAATGTCACCATTTTTTTTAAAAGAAAAGGCCTCACAGGGTGATTATGGTACGATGCCCAGAAAAGCATACTTGTGTCAGCTAAAGAGCTTACTGTACTTCGAAGTACTTTGAAGTACTATTGATATTCATTACTACTAAAGTTTTAGAAATACTAATACTATTTTTAAGTTTTAAATCTAGATAGTTGTATCCAGAATTTGAAAAGGTTATCAGTAGTAGCTATCGCGAAATACTATAATCTACCCCATAGCTCCTATTATAACCTTCACGTCCGGTATTATGATACTGTACTGTGAGCATCAGTCACTGACTGGCAGTCAGCAATTGGAATTAACACGTACGACACTCTCTTTCGTCCACATTCCTGTTGACGCGCTGAGAAGGGTCCCAAGAAGCTGTTGGAAACAAAACTCGTGTTTTCTATTTTCTATTGCGAACAGTAAAGTAAAAGAGAGGCAAGTCATGCGAGACCCGATCCCATGATCACACTACTATTCAGCAGTGAAGCTGAACTCTTCCAAGTCGATCCACTATCCATTTTACCACGTCGAGGTTGGAGCTCTTGTCATACTCAAGTGACCATGAATCTCTCGCTCCTGTTCACCCTTGTGAAGTGTGGAGGAAGAGCCAGGACTGCGCCCAGATCAAACCTGAGGCTCAGGTGCCTCCAGGACGCGATGCTCGCGTCCAGAAGCCGGACTTCGACGGACCATTGGCTGGCGAGCCGCCAGCCCCATGTTACTGCTAATCCTACCAATATATGTTACCGGGGTTTTTCCATGTGCTGCTACACACTCGACAGCTTGCGCCGTCAAGAGCAAGCAGCAGCACTCGGTTTTCTCCCCTGCTGGACTTTCAGTTCCTGCAACTTACTGTTGCTACGACGACTTCCTTCATCACAATGGTCACCACTCGGCGTAGCCGAGGAGCGACCATCACTCAGGTTATGAGCCCAAGAAGGAGAGCTGGAAGCCCAGTCCGGAGTACGCAGAGCTCGCGCGCGTCCGACGAGTTGCAGTTGCCTGCAAGAGCAGACGAGACAACGTCAGACGAGGCACATGCGACGTCACAAGCGTGACAACCCCGAGTTGAGCAGCAACTCGAGCTCTTATTGGCCCAATTCGGTACCGTTATGACTACACTGACAAATCAGCAGCAAGTGCAGAACATTCCAGTGGAAGCATCTACCCGACGCCCACAAAGGCAGCTCATTCAAGAATTCTCAGCGGCTCGAGCACAACCGCAGCGAGTGCCGACGCCGTACGGGCCCCGCCGAGGAAACCCAAGCACAGAGGAACTTACCGCCGGCGCCAGCACGCGTCAGAGCGAGCCGCCAAGAAACCCAAGACCGTCCGAGGCCGCAGCGCAGCCAGTCCAGACCGAGGCCGGGACCGACTCCGCTACGGACGAGCCCATGGTTGGAGACCACAGATGCACGCGGTGCATGAACCAGAGCGGACACGTGCAGTTGAACGCAAGACTTACCGATACCAACTACCAGACGTGGCGCGTCGAGATTTGCTCCATTCTCGACGTCGCACACCTCTTGGACCCCATCATGGAGCGCGAAACGATGGCAGACCAACGTAACGAAGGACAGCGCGGCTGTTTCAAGCAACGACTGCGTGTTGCTCAACGTGAACTTACGATGGGACTTAGTCAAGAGCTACAGATGCGATTTACAAGTGTTATTCAACGTGCTGATCCTATCGTACTGTGGCGAACACTGGAAGATCATTTTGATAGCCATCCTGGAGTAAACAGCGTGTTTCTCAAGCGAGATATGCTGAATCGTCGCCTGCAACGTGACGAACGACTTGACGATTACATTCGTGACATCGACGACTACCAACAGAGACTTCGCCGCGCGAACAAGCAGCTGCCTGAGCAGGAAGCCGTCTCTATCCTATTGTCGAATACAGTGGGTGGGTACCCAGCGGTGGTAAACGAACATGAAGTACGTATTGGACGTGATGAGTCCATTACGTGGGAGCAAGCGATCGAGCGCCTTCGACTTGCTGACCACTCACGCCAAGAGACTGAACTATAGCAAGGACGTGGTGGAGGTGGACGTGCCGTCCAGCGAGATGTTGCATTTGCTGGTGGCCGTGGCGACGGACACAACGACGGAAGAGGACGTCGAAACTCGAGCAGCAGCCAAGCACGAGGCAACAACAACCGCAACAATCGTCGCAGCCGCAGCTCATCGCCGCGTGGGCGGAACAAGCGGCAGAAGAGCAAGAGCTCATCCAGTGCGAGGGATGACATCGCCAAGCGAAAGGCGAAGACGAAATGCAACACGTGCGGAGAGCAAGGACATTGGAGTGGCGATCATGAGTGCCGCCAGCGTGGCAACAATAACAACAACAGCTACTCGAGCAACCCGCCGCGCAGGATGATCGATGTGGTTACTGTGAAGACAGCCAAGTCGACTGCACCGACTCAAGCTGAAGGACAAGAGCATGTACTCGCGGTGCGTGACAACTTCAACTACAAGGACAAGGACAAGGACCAGGACATGGTGGAGTGGGTGTTGGATAGCGGCGCGCAGACCAACGTCTCGAGCGACCTTACCTTGTTTACGGAGCTACACGAAGACTCAGTTGCAGAGCTAGTCTTCGGCAACGGCACAACCGAGCGCGCAACTGTGGGCACAGTGCTTATGCAAGTGCTGAACGAGCACACGGGCAAGATCGAGGAGCACCTCCTTGATGACGTGAGCTACGCCAAGTCGGCTGCCTACAACCTGATCTCGCAGACCTACATGCAATTCAAAGGAAACTTCAAGGTGCGCGTCTCGCATGATCAGAAGACTACGTGGCTGGTCAAGGACACATTGAAGCTGCGCTTCAAGTACATCCGAGGGATGTACCGCATGTGGACGCCACGTCAGAGCAAGAACGTGATGAGCGTCAAGGCCAGTGAAGCGGAGAACCCCATGACGTTGCTGCACAACCGCATGGGCCACGTAAACATGGAGACTATCAAGACTATGGCAGGAAACTATAACTTTGGCATCAACATGCAGTCGAAGAATTTTGCTCTCTATGAATGCATTCCATGCTTAGAGTCAAAGACGAAGCGCATGAGCTACAAGCGCAAGCCGTCTCGTTCTGCAAAGCCCTTGCACAAGCTTTGTGTCGACCTATGCAGTGTTGGAGTGGATACAATATCGAAATCAAACCAGTTTCTATTGATTATCGACGAAGCTACGAGATACAAGTGGGGATATCTATTAGCCTACAAAGACGAAGCCACGGAGCTGATTCAGAAGCAGATTCGCTGGATCCAGAACCAGTTCCCGAAGGCGACCATCAAGATGCTGTTCTCCGATGGTGGTGGCGAGTTCGTCAACATGCGGCTCGAGACCTTCTGCAAGGACCTCGGCATCGACACGCGTTCATCCAATCCCTACAGCCCGCAGGAGAACGCTATCGTGGAGCGCACGAACCAGACCGCTATGCGGCAGGTCAGATCTTTGTTACAAGCTACGCAAATGCCTGTTTCATTATGGGGAGAAGCCTTCCTACATGCAATTGAGACGCTCAACAAGACGCCGACGCCGGTGTTGAAGGACCAGCAGTCCCCGTACGAGGCCCTGTACGGAGAGCGGTCAGACCTCAGCGTGCTGCGCACGTGGGGGTGCTTGGTGCACGCGCACATCCCTGATGATTCTCGGCAGAAAAAGGAGAAGCTCACTCCAAGGACGCAGATGTGCTTACTACTTGGCTACAGCGAGAAGACCAAGGGCTATAAGCTGCTGAACCTGCGCACAGGATCAGTGACGACGTGCAGAGATGGAAACATGAAGGCGCATGAGAAGTACACGGTGAAAACTGTGTATATTGAGCAACTTCTTGCAAACACCTACGTTTACGGAGACTAAGACTTACCTGCGGAGATCCCGATCGTGCCGATCCAACCGACAATGTCTACGTACCTGCAGCTTCCTGCAGAGCTTGCAGAAAGGCGAGTAGCGGAGATGGCGAAGCTGGCCACTGCTGGTGAGAGCCATGACCAAGGTGTTGAAGTTAAAGCCGAGTCTGCGACTCGAAGTGATGACCCACAGCTACCAAGCGAGGACGCTAAGAAGCCAGCAGCTTCAGTGGGAGGTTCCAAGCGGAAGAACACAAAGGGCAAGAACAAGGCGAAAGCATGTGCAAATCGAGTGGGAGCTTCGAAGGCCAAGGACAGTCGACGTGATGCTCACGAAGACGAGAACTGGGAGCCATGCACGACGCAGAAGTCGTCGCCAGACGACAGTGCAGCTACGTCGCGACCGAAGCGGAAGCGACAACCATCCGCCCGACTCAAGGACTACGTAGTGACGAATGTGACGAAGCAGAACGTCGAGGATGTGCAGATCCCCATTAGTCACAAGCATGCGGCAAGGTTAAAGAAGTGGAAGGAGTGGAAAGCAGCGATGCAAGTTGAGATGGACTCACAGCAGCAGCACGAAACTTGGGTGCTCGTGCGACGCACGGAGGCCAAGGGCAAGCGTGTCATTTCGTGCAAGTGGGTGTACGCGCTCAAGAGAGACTCTACGGGCCGGATTAAGCGATATAAAGCTCGACTAGTGATCAGAGGCTTTCTACAACGCATGGGCATCGACTAAAATGAAACCTACGCACCTGTTATCAGATTTGAGACGATCAGATGCGTGATCGTATACGTGCTGCAACGCGGATGGGCCATCTTGCAGCTCGACGTCAAGACCGCGCTCTTGTACGGTGATCTCGACGAGGAGGTCTACATGGAGCAGCCTCCAGGCTTCGGAGAAGACTCTACGCGCTACGTATGCAAGCTACAGAAGAGTTTGTATGGGCTAAAGCAAGCGCTGGAACAAGACATTACACAAGTTCCTGACGAAGATCGGACTCGAGCGCCTCGACTCTGAATACGGACTCTACGCCAGGAAAGTGGGAGGAGAAGTCACCATGTTGCTCACGGTGTACGTCGACGACCTACTCTCCTCGGCCCTAGTGACATTTGCGCTAAGGTTGCTAAGCAACTCAGTGAGGAGTATGAACTCACATCTCTCGGACCAGTCAAGTATCTACTAGGCGTGGAGATACTGATCGACAGCGAGCGTCGACATGCGGTATTTTGCCAGCGGCAACATATTACGGAGGTGCTAAAGCGATTTCACATGGAGGGTTGCAACGCGGTTGCAACACCGGAAGCGCTGCGCGCTGAGGTGGTCACAGATGCGAAAGATGACTCCCCGCCCCCGTACCGAGAGCTCGTTGGTGCACTACAATATCTGGTCTCAGCCTCAAGGCCGGACATTGCGCACGCTGTGCGTAATCTCAGCAAGTACCTGTCCTGCTTCGACCACACACACTAAGCTATGGGAAAGAGGGTGCTACGCTACCTGAGTGGTACTCAAGACCACGGCTTAGTGATGGACATTGTTATTGGGAACGACGTCAAGCTGACGTGTTACACCGATGCTGACTACGCTAATGACCCTGATGACCGAAAGAGTGTTAGCGGGTTCGCGACGTTCGTCAATGGTAACGTGGTTTCGTACGGATCAAGAAAGCAAGAGATTAACGCACAGAGCACAACGGAAGCAGAGTATATTGCCATGAATGAAGGCACTAGAGATCTACAGTGGCTACGTGGACTCTGTGAAGAACTATGCTGGGAGTTCGCGACTCCGGAGATTATCGGCGATAACAAGTCGTGCATCTATCTGACTGCCAAGCCTGGCAAGCACAGCAAGAACAAGCACATTATGAACAAGTTCCACTTGGTGCGCCACCTCGTGGAGAACGAGCAGCTACGGATTCGCCATGTTGGCACCGACGACATGATCGCCGACGCGATGACGAAGCCATTGCCGAAGGACAAGTTCGAACATTGCCGTGATGGGATGAAGGTGCTGCGCATCGACCGTCAGCAAGGCTCAGCTCGTTCAGTGGGAGCCAAACATCATCGCCATGCGTGAATGCAAGCTACTACTACCAGTTCATGCATGCGAAGGACAAGAAGGAGGAAGAGCGCTACCAAGGACGAAGCGTCGTGCTGCAGCGCAGCTAGAAGATGCCAAGGACATCGTGGTGAGCTCTACAAGGTGATCATGTTGAAGCTGCGCTTCGACTAGATCAAGTGGGAGTGTGAAGTGTGGAGGAAGAGCCAGGACTGCGCCCAGATCAAACCTGAGGCTCAGGTGCCTCCAGGACGCGATGCTCGCGTTTAGAAGCCGGACTTCGACGGACCATTGGCTGGCGAGCCGCCAGCCCCATGCTACTGCTAATCCTACCAATATATGTTACCGGGGTTTTTCCGTGTGCTGCTACACACTCGACAGCTTGCGCCGTCAAGAGCAAGCAGCAGCACTCGGTTTTCTCCCCTGTTGGACTTTCAGTCCCTGCAACTTACTGTTGTTACGACTACTTCCTTCATCACAATGGTCACCACTCGGCGTAGCCGATGAGCGACCATCACTCAGCCCTGGCTGTCAGCTCTTTTGCGGTCGCAAGCGGAGAAACCATCACTAAATCGACCTACAAAGGCACGAGCGGCTTGCATGACATGGCCAAGGCGTCTGGAAAGTACCTGGGTACGGCAGTGGACCAGGACATGAAGGACACCGCAGCACTGAAGGTGCTTAAGAACATTATGGACTTTGGAATGCTCACGCCCGGTAATGCTATGAAGGTACGCTTATTGTGCTATCAACAAATAGCTCATAAGCTTTTACTAACGCAGTAGTTATATAGTGGGATGCTACGGAGTACACGCAGAACACTTTTAAGTTCGACGGTGGCGATGCAGTCGTGAAGATCGCGAAGGAAATGGGTGCTCAAGTGCGTTGCCACACTCTGCTCTGGGTATGTTGAAAAATAGTTTTTTATCAGCTAAGTTCTCCACAATTAACACGTTATGCTTGTTTTGTAGCACTCACAAACCCCTCAATGGCTACAGACTCTAAGTAAGGCGGAGATGCTCAGTGCGTTAAAGAACCACATTACCAAGGTTATGACGCACTTTGGAGACTCGTGCTACGCTTAAGACGTCGCCAACGAAGTCATGGGCGACAACGCACAGATGCGCGATACATTTTGGTACAAGACGACGGGAATGGAGTTCTTAACGACGGCGTTTAAGACAGCTAACTCTGTTAAAAAGTCGCTCGGTCTTAAGACGAAGTTGTACTACAATGACTACAACACCAACACGATCAACGCGAAATCTACCGCTGTGTTGAACATGGTCAAGAAGCTGATGGACGAGGGAGTCGTCATCGACGGCGTTGGCTTCCAGTCCCACTTCCAGTATACCGACAAGTCGACAGCCGCTGACCAGGTGGCGAACTTTGAGCGCTTCACAGCCCTCGGATTGGACGTTGCTCTTACTGAAGTGGACGTAACGGCGAGCTCGAACTCGCCGTCGGCAGAGGAGCAACAGCAGCAGTCCAACGTCTATAAGAACACTGTTGCAGCTTGCAAGCAAGTGAAGCGCTGTGTCGGTGTGACGATCTGGGGCTACGTCGACAACTACTCGTGGCTCAAAACTAAGGCCCCGCTGCCGTGGTACCAGCCAGGAGGAGCCAACACGGCACTGGTGCGCAAGTCTCTGTACGACGGCATTGTCGCTGGCTGGGGCGGCGCTAAGAATTCGACGCAGTCTTCAGGCTTTGCTCCTGGAACGGTCAAGCCTGCAAACTAAGCCACACACTTTCGTGGATGTGGAGGTAATGATGCCGTAATAAACTTTTCTTGTCTTCTCCCTTTACTGTTGGCAACTTGACGATTGGCCACACGTCAGAGCATGATCATATCTACATATTAGCTACATGAACATTTTGCCGACTTTAGCCGACATAATGAACCGGTAGCATGCACATGTATCAATGCAACTGAACATGTACAGTCGTGCTCCTCCAATTCGGCAGGGCGGACCATATCAACAGTGCCAGGGCATAAGTGCACAACATAAAGCAAAAAACAAACGCAAATCCAGTGCACTGATATTTTATTTGTTAATTCAGTACCAAATATACGCCAATCTTCTGCATAATCTTGGCGTCAGACGCGCGAGTCGCGGGCGCGCAAGAGCGCTTCCGGTCGCGATAGGCGTCCGGCAAGGCGGCAACTTCCGCGGATTGCTTAAGAATACTCTCGACGGTAGTGCGCTTTACTGCTTGGGGCCCCCAAGTTGGGGGGTCTTAAAGCGCTCCGTTGCCCAATGAGCAAGTTCGGAGTGAGAGCATGCAGGATCTGACTTGTGCTTCCCGCACAAAGACTGCTTTTGTGTGACATGTAGGAGGAAGGGCGATGTCCCATTGTATTTGGCGGTAAAAATTAAAGTGTGTGTTTGTAAGAAGACGTCCGATCCAAAATTTAAAATCAGATCGATGCGGCGTGTCATCCCTCGGCGAGTAGGAGAAAACCGTTGAGGTTAACTGCTAGGGTGGTGATGGGCAAAGGTAATTGCGCATCCGATTCGCGTAATCATAAAATCTGGCAGGGTATCGACTGATACCGGTGCCGAATTGGAGGTGCACGACTGTACATGTACTGTTCACTGTATTACTGATCTGAGGTAGGCTGGATTTTTCCATGTGATGTTGCTCCATTCATAATCATTTGGGCCAAGTCGGGGCTATAATCATCAAAGCTGCATCGTCATCTCCTCACTTTCACAACTGCTTCCTTTACCAGACTACAGCCGTCGACGATGAGCACAGTCAACTCGCCCAAGGTGTCGGAATTCGAGCGCCCTCCGATCATGGAGCACTTCAAGCAGTCCAAATCGACCAGAAAGCTCAACACTCAGCCGAGTATGCCCATGCTTGGAGCAGGAGGCAAACAGCTTTCACAGGACACAGTGCAGTGGGAGCCAACGCCGGACCCTGCCACCAACTACGTGAGGAACGATCAACCGCCTCAGACGCCGTCAAACGATGCACATCAAAGCAACTCGACAACGTTCAGTAAACTCGGCTCGCTGCTCTGTTGCAGGCGACGATGAGGTGAATGTACCAACTACACTGTAAGAATCTCCGATAAATCGAGTTTTTGCGTTACCAAATAAACTTCACGAATCGAAATCAGCTTTATTTTTTTCTGTAGATGCATTTAGTGGGATTATGTGCACTTGCATGGACACTTTCCACACGTGTGGTGCTGCTCTCACCACGTACAGGTAAACACTTTACACCGTTCAGTCATGCCACGACTAATTATGGTGTAGCCTAGACTCTAGGTTTGAGCACAGATTTTTGGAATTTAGCTGCCCGCTATTTAAAAACCACTCGCTCAAATTTCAATAATAGAATAAAGTTACGTTAAATGTGCAGTCCAAAACCGGTGTTTTTGCTTAGAATTGATGAGGCTTCTAAAATATAGTGTCACTAAAAGGGCGAATGCACGACTACCTTCGAAATTCGACTAGAGTAAACGGTGTAATTGCGTACAAATTTTTTATTCCATGTATTTTTAAAGTAGTTTGTTTTTCAGAAAGTCAGTGGAGCCACAGGAAACTCCACATGTCCTTTTCCGAGCCTGTCGAAGAACAGGGAAGCTGATGTATCGGTTTCCCTCGCACTGCGCAGCTCCGAGTCGCGGGACCGCAAAGCGATTTTTTTGGCTTGATTCGACAACACACTTAGAAATCCGAGTTTGATTTCTAACGGGAGATTGTCAAGAGGCTTGGGATGGTGCTGTCGAAATTGGTCGATAACCTCGTCGTGGTTTTAATTGGGTACGTATTGTGCTTTCTACTCAAAACTTGACTGCCTGATTTATTAATCACCCGCGCTGAATGGCCTATGAAATCGTTCATCCTACCATACATCATACGGAAACATTACATGCGACAGGTTTCCTTCCACACACTGCATCGGCAACGTTTCCCGTGTCAGTAAGCGGTAATGGATCTCCGATCTAACGTCTCGTCTGGTAGCGCAAGAGGACCCCACCAGCGGGTGCTGCATCAGCTGATGGTGCACGCTGTGGTGGTCGAACACGTGTATCGCCACATTCGGCCCGTGTATCTCCATATCCTGAGCGTACTCGGACGCCAACGGAGACTTCACCGCCCCACCCAGGTCCAATACGACGGCGTACACCTCCAGACCGAGAAGCACTGCCAGCGACCACGACTAGGGCATACTCAACCCCGGGTCCAGTGTCATCTGCAGCCCAACGAGCGTCACTTCTTGGAGCAGCAAGATCACCTGGTGAATCAGCTCAAGCTCGACCTTCTCCAGCCCCTGGTACAGCTAGACAGCCGCGGACTCCACGTTCCACACGACGTCGAACATCACCCCGAGCTGCATCTCCTGTTGGTCAACCTGAGCAGCAGATACCAGCATCCCCAGCGGACGCTACTTCGCATCAATATCAGCTTGTGGTTCAACCTAAGTTGCAGCTGGTGAGTTTTGACCAATCATATCTAAGTGTTGATTTTTCAGACTATCCGTCAATCACCCTCGGTATCCAATTTTCACTGGAATTGACAATATTATAAATCTAAAAGTATTCCAGGTACCGATTATTGTCACGAGTGCAGATATGTCCCCAGAAAAAATATCTGGATAAAAATTTCAGTGGCCAAGTCGTTGATTTAGTGAACGCGCAGACCTTCGTGGGGTATTTGTCGGCAAGCCCACTACCAAGGAAGACGTCGATAAGCTGGTATCCTCGGAGCTCCCGGACAAAGAGAAGTACCCCGAGCTGTACGATACGGTGATTTCCAATATGCTGCATGGACCCTGTGGTCAACAGAACCCGAACTGCCCGTGCATGAAGAACGGAAGGTGCTCCAAGAAGTTTCCAAAAGCGCTCGCGGACGAAAAATACTATACCCCCAGGCGACGTGTGGCCCCAGCTGCCCTCTTACTAAAAACATCCTCGAAGAAGTTCCTAGAGGCTATTGTTCTTCGCCGCAATGCACAACTTGGCTACAAACTGCAATGCAAACCTACATGTGCTAATTATTATAAGGCCTCATGGAAGGTACAGTTGCAAGATTCCCCCAAAATACGAGATGCGTGAAATCAGCTCTGGGTTGGGGGAGAGCTCGACGTTATAACGATCGCTTGATTGGCTTTCGTCATCGTATTGGAGTTGCAATCGTCAACTGCCCTCCAGTTACTTTTATAACGGTGTTGGGTTCAGTATACGCACCGATTTAACTAATCGTACGGGCGCGTCTGAGGTATAAAGTAGCATCAATACCTACTGCGTGGAGGAGCGTATTCGCGCTTTCTTCGAATTGCTTCTAACAGATTAAAACAGATGGGATTGCCCATTATTAATAATGTATGAAGGACTTCAAAAATTAGCGTCGCTAACAGGGTAAACGATTCTACTGCAAGAAGACAGGAGCCAAAGCATTGGAGTGCAGGAAGAATAGGTCGACGAGGAATATGAACAAGTGACGTAAGCGCAAGCGTCGGATTTCGAATTCACGGATGCGAGCGCGATGACCAAGTTTAAAGAGCTTGTCCACTCGTGGTGCAAGCTCGCACATTACCAGTGTCGGGGGCAACCGGAATTTTAGCAACCCGAATAATTGGGGATGAGACTAAAATCAACGCAGCTGCAACGGGCATCGTCAGGTTGAAGCTGATCGACGATATGTAAATGCTCCAAACGGTACGTTGCTATGCTCTTTCGACTTACTACTGGTATATGACACGTATAATGCAGTGTCTACATTGTGTGACAAGGTGCGCCAAGCACATTACCCAAATAACAACCAGACTTGCTTCTCCATTTAATACCAACTTTGGCGCAATGGAAGCGAGAGTCCACAGCCGCGCCACGGCCGCGGTATCCAGCTGAGGACCCTACCAAAAAAGCGGACGGAAACAGTGAAGCTGCGTAAGTAATAGCCCAAATGACTTGCGTTTAGCAATCAGATGCAATACACAAATTTGCTTTCGTAGCCGTTTTGCACGTGACCCTGTCAAAAACGATTTATTCCCAATAAAACAGCCATTTGAAAAAGCACGATGTCGCGTATGGGCTTTACGGAATCTACTCATCATGCCGGATATAAAGCATGTGGGTCCATAATACGTACGATTGCAGGATCTTGTACAAATTTACAGACACCGATCTTTTTTTTCCTATACAAATTTTACGTTAAGATTTTTTTAACATGTTTGATATCAAGCATGTGAAAAATAGTCTGTGTATTCAAGATTTGCTCTCGTAACGGAGGGTTTATTGTACTAGTGTTTAGTTTACGGTACGACATCGACTTTGCCTGGGCTGGGGTCAGCGCCGCAAACAATAGTCCCAGAGTCATTTTAATCAACTAGTGTTTAGTTTACGGTACGACGTCGACTTTGCCTCGACCGAGGTCACTACCTCAAACAATTGTCACAGTGCTAACTCACCATTAAAATAGTCATTACAAATGATGTCCATTTAAAATTATAGTATCTACAGGAGCATAGAATGAGGTCTGAAGCCGGTTTCTGGTCAAAGCATTTTCCGGTAAAACACCCACGTAGTTCAGGTTGATACATGGGAACAGTCATACAACATTGCAATATTACTTGAATAGTGTAGTACTTCGATACCTAGCCGAGCGCCACCGCTTCACGGCAGTGTGGCGAATGCATGTGAATTACCGCATTTCGCCTACCTTCCGCTCGCCACGGGCTCGCTGCGCTACTCGCATGGCTAGCTGGTAAGCTATACCAAAGGCCC